CCACACACACTCACACACACCCTTGGCCAACATCAACGCTGCCAAGGGTTCGGTGGAGGAGCCCCGTGAACACGACTATGATGCCACACATGCATGATGAGACAGTCCCTCAATTTGTTCCCCAACTCAATAGCGCATGCTGCGTCTTCCTCCGGAGGGGGCGGACAGGGTGCATGCCGCGTTTGCGGAGGTGGACGCCGTTGCCGACGCCGGCTCTGCACATCACGACCATCACCATCACTGTCGTCGGAAAGCATTTCAGGATCCACCTGCACCCTGTGTTGCACCATCAGGTTGTGAAGTATGCAAATGGCCATTAACTCTTTGCGAAGGGTTTTCATATTCGCAATCTGTGTCTTGATGAAGTTCCTCCACATGACCTTCAATCTTCCGAAAGTGTGCTCGATGCATGACCGTGCGGAGGTGTGACAATCATCATACACCTGTTCAACCGCATTCCTGTTGTTGCCCCCAACTGGAGTCATAATCCATTGCGACTGCGGGTAGCCAGCGTCGCCGAGCAAGTACCTGCCAATCGTACGGCCACCACGCAGCACCTCTTCGCCCGTGCCGAACACCCCACCACCACGTTGCGCCTCGCGATGCAAAGGAGACACTCGCAACACACGACTATCGTGGACAGACCCCGGGCAACCCACGAAAGCACTTTGAATTCGGCACTCGTGGTCGCACACCACCTGCGCCACAACAGAGAATTGGTCGGTGCGATCATAGAAACACTCCCCCCTCTGACCTACAGGCTTATCGATGTACACATGGGTGCAGTCTATGGCTCCCACACAACTCGGGAAACCTTTGCGTTCGAAAGCGTCCAACATCTCTTGCAGCTTCTGCCCTGTTGGGAACTGGAGAAGATGGCCATACTCCCTGATCAGCGCATCGGCAACATCGACGTTGCTCCGCAGTGCGCTCGCCAAACCAAGACCCAAACCATGGGACGACTGCCTGTAGTAACCTCCCGTCGCCCACCTGATGAGAGTGCATGCAAACTTTTGCGCCGCCGGGACTGGCTGTCTCCAGTTCGTCGTCTGACCCTGGATATGTGGCGCTATGCGAGCCAAAATTTCATTGAACAGCGGTGGGGGAAGTCTGCAACACCGCTGGAAGACCTTCTCATGCCTGCCTCCCTCTCTTTGGAGGTCCTTCCACACACCCCCACTGCGTTCCAACACCCACACGC